GGAATAAACTGGAACATTCTGTGAATTTCTTTTCAGCACATAGAATTGTCTGAGTCAAAAGTAATGATGCAACTCCTCATCTCCATGTAATTAATTCTGGCATTTTCTAACTGATGTTTCAATTTTAAATGAAATGCTGTTTCATTCCAAAGTTTTCTTCAATTGTATGTAAAAATATGTCTTAAAAACCCTCTAAAATATTTTGCTTCCAACACATTTTTCCCAAAATTCTAATTTGCCAAAACTGTTCTTTTTGGATGAAACACAAGGCATATCTCAAAAAAACCCACAATCCAAATCACTGTCACTTGCACAACTCTTAAGTATTGCAAAACTAACAGTATTGTTGCATAGGCCCAATGGAATTGTAAAACACCACAGAAAACAGTGTAAAAAATAAAAAATACAAGTACTCTTCTGTAGGCAAAAGGATAATTCATTTTTAATCTCAACTCAAAACCACAACCGTGATTAAGTCTGGGGGATTGATTCTGATAATACCGCCACAAAAAATAATTATACCTTAAATCCTACTTAAAATAATGACACAGTTAACAGTGCTTATCATTGAACAAACCTGCTGCTTTCCTGGAATATACATCTTTCAGTTGATGCAGAATGTTTTTTGAAGAGAGAAGTCTTTGGGTTCAGTGCATGCACTACTGGGGAAAATTCATTGGCCTGGTTTACTCAGCAAGAGCAAACATGATCTTATTGACCGCCAATGGCCAGCAGTAACGTCATCATCCCTGTCATGACATACGCAACAGGATTACCAGTAAACTGTCTCAGCATGAACAGATCTTTTCAGAAACAGACTGTCTTATTCATGGTCAACTACTGTTGCTCCTTTGATCATTTTCAAGCAGACTAGCCTTTTTTGGTTCAGGTCCATTTTCCTTCACAGAAGTTTCACAGTATCTAGAAGATACTCAGGGTATCTTCTGGGTATTGATGCTATCCACTTGATCCTGTTGAAAGGGACATATACATCAAAATACATAAGAGCTTCTATGAACACAGTTCTGCTGGCTGATGGGAACAGGCATCCTACTATGAATAGGAAACACTAAGTCTCTCTCCAAAGCTGCCAGGACCATTCACGAATTTGTATTGATCTTCATAGGAAAAAATCTCATCTTTTCTCAATAGCTCGATGAGAAATAAAGCACTTCATTAACACCGACATCAGAAGTAATGTCACCAGCGTACAAGTTTCATATTTGTAGTTCAGGAACCATTTTCAAGATTAGTCACACCATTCATCAGTATTAAAGCCCTAAATGTTGAGGATGAACTCAAAAGCCCAGTTAAATGTTCATGTCTGGATTAACTCTTCTGGTAGCATGTACAGAAGTCAAGGAGGCAGAAGGCTGAAAACTCATGAAGTGAAACAGCAACTTCAAATCTCCACAGTACTTATAGACTAGTCATATAAGCAGAGACAACTGTAGGAGAGTTCACTTGAACCTCGGATAGATCTTTTCTGAACCACAATGACTGTGGTACATACCTCAAAGCATGCTGTAGTCAGGGCAGGTTGATTTGAATGGCTCAGGCTAGGTGAGAATGACCATCAGGATGACCCTAAGTATTAGTTTAGGTACCTAGACATCCAAGCGAGCAACACCATTCATACCTCACAAGCACCTCTACCAGCTCAGACAGATAGGACTGTTTTAGTTATAGCCATTTCATCTGTAGCTGGAGAACCTCTTATGCTGCTACCATACGTTGCGGGAGGAACCAATGCAGTTTGTTACCAAGTCTGACGGCATGCTATTGATATGTCAATGTGTATGGAAAGCTGATAACCTCACTGATAGTATGAATTTACTGGGGTGTTCGTATAACTTTTGTTTGTTCCATATTTAGGTCATGTGCAACATAAACACCCCCAAAGATGTTAGGAATTTACAGCTGTCTTCTAGGCTGAGAAGAGCTAGCTAAAAATCCAAAATTACAACATATATTTAAGAAAAAATTGTGATTTGTGAGGTAGATTACCAGAGAGGGCATAAATTTATGAGGTAGTGCAGGGCAAGGCATAAATCATCCACCTTACACTTGTAGTGGTAAAAAATAGGACGACAAAAGAGCAGAAAGAGAAGGATGTGGTATTTATGACAAATTTACTCTCTAAAAATTGCATCACTTGCCATACACAAAGAATGGAAGAGAATTCTGTGGGGCTGCTTGTTGTGAAACACTGGCCTTCACAGGAGGCTGGAAATGAGGTTGGCTTTAAACAGAGTGATCTTACCATGAATGCTTGATTTTTGTAATGCTTGATACATACTTAGATACCTCTGGATAGAAACAGGATCAAGAAATTTTCTAAGAGTTAGGCCAGTTTTATTTGTAACTTCTGCTTCCAGTCTTTTAGACAGAGCTTGCTTTGGTGTTTTGATGGTAAAACATACATAACCCATCTGGCGATGTGGAAGTAAAAAGGATGGGTAAAAGTGACACATTTAGGGTTATTAGCTCTATGGAGCTAACGGTCTGAATAAAGATCATGTCCAGACAGCCATGCCAGAGACTTAGCCCAAGGCAGACTGATGGAAATCCAGAGTGAGCAACCTTTGACTGCAAAGGCTGATACTGGCCCATATAGGACCTCATACCAGCTGCTGCTGACTTTGAGTATACACTATCTGCAGTTAAGTACAAAGTTGCACCCCTTCCAGAAAGAAAAGATATCTAAAAAGCACTTTGTGTCTTGACAATGCTTAAGTGCAGCACGAGGCACATTAGCTGGCTTCCTTAAGCATTCACAACAATGAGAAGCTGAATTTTAAAGCTAAGATTAGAGAACACTTCAGAGTTTGTTCTCCTCCACAACCCCTAGTTAGTCTTTTATATACCTACACAGGTTATGTCCCTAATGGTCAGAAATTATAGATTACTGACCTGTTTTCCTTTTACTGGGTACCATGCAACAGTTTTCTTGTCTCCAACCCTGGTGCAGGAAAGCCCTTAAGTATATTCTCAATCTTGGGACCCTGCTGCTGGACTCTGTTCCTGAACTCAAAACTCTCAACACTGTTCTCCGACTGCCTTCCTGCAAAGGGAAGAGCAGAGGTTAATTTCTTTTCATATTAGGAGGGATTACCCTTTGCAACAGCTAGAGCCAAGGTGGCAACCCAAATATTAATTCGCTTAAATACAGTTCTTTAAAAAAAGCAAACCCAGAGAAACTAAAATATTTATTTGTACCTACTAATTTTATATCATGAATAAACGCTATTCGTTGCCAGCTAAGCCAGAAAGAAACCCCTCCACCTGATCATTATTTTACTCTGTGAGGAGTAACAAAGGGTACTTTCATGTGATAAGAAAAGTATGTCACCCTTAAAAAAGTTGTAGAACAAGTACAGATAAAAAGATGCATTGTTAGGAAGATGAAGAAGCATCCTAGAACTGGTAGTTCCAATGGATTCCAGACTATGCATGCTTTGGAGGGACTGAAATGTCCAGGGAAAGGTATTTGGCCCTATTGTACAAAACTGCAGCATCACCTTATTTTCATAACTGGTACTTTATAAATAAACAAGGACTTAAAAAAATTATTAAATGAACATAATCCAGTTATTGTTTTCCAAATTAAGTACACTAGTAAATATTCTTTTAATTTCTTTGATTCTCTCTGCAGTTTTATGTGGTGAAACCTTTTTTATAGACCAGAAGATCTTTCAGAGTGGTGTGAAGTAACCTCACTGAAAGGGAAGGTAACTTTCAGTGGCTGTGAATGATAATCGGCACTGAAAACCTCATCAGATTCATATACAGAAGGACAGGCAAAACCATACCTTGTATGTGCCCCTCTGGCTTACAGTCCTGATTCTGGGAAAACTACAGGATCAGCACTGCTTCTCTTTAGCAAATCTTAACACCTGGCCAAGGACATTGGTCATTCTGTTCACAAGCAAGGTACTGCAAAAAGTGACTGCCTAAATCAGAAGCAAGATGCAAAGAAGCCAAGAAAAAAAAAAAAAGAAAAAAGAGATAAGAAAATGACCTGTAAGGCAGTGAATGACTGAAATAACCTCAAACCCATGCTCAAGCTGCTAATAAGGTTTCAGTAACCTAATGCTCCCCTTGCCTGGTCCTGATGTTTGTGAATGAGAAAACGAAGGGTCAAATGTGACCAGTGAAGTCTGCTTTGGCCAGAATGACAGGCTTCTCCAGAAACCCCGCTGCTGCTATTCAGCATCAAGAAAGGAATGATGACTTTTATTCAAAACAAAACTTGTATCTGGTGATTTGTTTTTGTGCTGAGTATTTCTTTGGCTTAGAGCTACAGCAGCCCTGTAAATTCATGAGTACCACTTGTGTCATGTCTTAAGCTTAAAAGGCATCTTGTTTTCACTAGTCTGTCTACAACTTTTGTTTATTTTTCAAATATTTTCTCTTTAACAAGCCACAACAGAATACAGTGCACATTATCTGCCCCAGACAACCAAGGACAGAGAATATCTCTATACTAGCAAGACCCAAGAAGGCCTGCCTTGGGCAGAAGGCAATTCCTGACAAGTAAAACCTGTTAACAGATTTAGTTTCCCTTGCACTTGGCCCAGATCTGCCCTGCACACACTAAAATAACTGCACAACACAGAGCACTGGAGTTACTTCTCGCAAGCATTCCTGAGGCCTGACACGTCGGCTCTGTGTCTCCCACGGTCACACACGCCATGCGTAGAGCCTCTCTACCTTTTCAGCTCCTCACGAGCTTAATGGTGCACAGCCTCAGAGAGCGCCCTGTACCTCCTCTGTACCGTCACCTGATACACCCGCACCCCTCTGGTAACCAACAGTGGCCGTGACTGGAAAATGGAGACTTCACTGAGCAGCACAGATCACCACACACCCCTTTATCCTCATGGGCCCCGTTTGCGGCCACCCAAATGCCATCAAAGCTCCAGAGGCCTCAGGCCAGGGCCAGAAGTAGTGCAGCCCCATGAGGTGCTTGTGTTTGGGGGAGCCGGTCTGGAACGCCCATGTTGGCCATGCCAGAGTCCATGGCATTGCCACCCCTCAACAGCAGTGAGGCCCATCATACTTCCCTACCATTTATAACCGGCTACAATTTATAGCTGGTTTTGGAGCTGCCTGCAGGCAAACCGGGGCGGGTCGGG